GTAATTATTCTATTTATTTACACTACTGTTACTATTCACTGTTCTATTTATTTCACTTCTATCACTTTCAATTTATCTCTTGATTCACCTCTGCAACGGTCAATTTATTTCTACTCTACTTCGGCGATCGTCTCTTCCTTTTTATACTCCCTTGCCTCCTTTCGGGAACGTTCTCCAGCCGTCCAGAGAAGTCTCGTTTTATTTGAACGGTTTAATTGCTTTCTCGGAACGCAGGTATGACACACACGTTTACAGATACGGCGCACATGAAGAAAAGCGCCCCCGGCTAGTCGGCGAATCGATAAGCTGCTCACACACACGTATGCCCGATCGCACACAATCAGGCTCGTGGTCGCTACAGTATATATAAAAAAAGGGTGGATAAATGAATGCCTGCCAAACGTTTTGTTTTTTGCTCAAAAAGAAGTGCAACAATTCCAAGGAGAGAAAGTTAACACCCCTATTCATACTCAAATTATGCCAATCAAAATCAAACCCTTTTAGAAAATCTAAAATAAGATACATTGTTTCCATTTTGGCATAAAGAAAGTGGTTAGAAAGAATGGCCACTAATGATGAAAGAGAAGTCAGGGATTTTTTCTCATGTGGATACTCCCATGTCCAGTGGTTTTTAATCGGAAGATGTTATAAACGACCATCTGAGTAAAGCTTTTCAAAGACTGAACGATTCATCTGTTGTAAAGCGTTCAAAGTGCGCTTATTCCCGTCAACTCACACCAGTAGCATACGTAAACAAAGAGTAGAATTTATCATACGTTCGGTGACAGTGGGTCCGTCCGTTGGTGGTGGTGCTTTCGGGGTCGTTTCACTTTGATAAATGGATACCTGTTCCGAACTGAAACTGCCGTTTTTCGGGCTGCAGCAACGGAAAATGCCGACGTCATCCTGACTGACTGCGCGAAAATTGCATGCATATTCGCAACAGTAAAGTATTGCGACGCGAGAACAAGTCGTAAAACATTACTTGATTGATTGCAATTCAGTTTTAAACCCGTGGTTTTCAGAAGCAAATGTATGATGCGAAAATACATTTGACAGATAAGAATAAAACACGGAAATAGTTATTTCTAGATAAATGTAATTAAATATACTTCATTTACTTTCTCTAGCGATGTGTCCCTTCCAATGTCTTGGATGCTCGCTGGCAAAATCGTAGGTAGAGAGAAAAAAGCTCATTATACTCTCGACTCTTGTTCATTAAACATACTTTTTCATACAGTACCTGCCGAAAGTTTTGTTCAGTCATGAATAGTAGTGCGAGTCGAAAACAGGCGTTGAAGTCTTTAATATGTCTTCAAATATAAATAAACATCTCGTTGATATTTTCAGTAGTACATGGTACCAATAACAGCACATTTGAGCAATGCTATTGTAGTGGATAAAATGGTCAATTTTTCCGTGCAGTAATATATGGATTATACGCTCCTCACCGGTTAAGAGTTTGGCCGAGAGTTGTCTTCTTCCTTTTCTGGCCTAGTGCTGTTCTTTTCTACTTTGCGCCGGTCAAACTGAAGGTCACATCGCTACAGAAAGTAAACGAAGTATAGCTTTCTTAATATTATACTCAAGTTTGAATTAGGTCATTAATTTTTCATTGCCAAAGTTCGCACACACAAATTAATGACTCTTGAAAGAATTGTGTAGAGAATTCTCTACAAAACGGTGTCTAGTAGTTTCCTATTTGTAGGAACAAATTTTGAAACATTTATCGGTTTGGGATAAGAAAAATGTTGCCTTATTTAGGGTTTTCGAATCCAAATCCAGCGACACTTTATTGCTGAACTTCTAATGTCTGTTTTCTTGTCACAAAAACAATCTTAGTGATTATAAAAGGTAGCCGGTAGGTTTCTTCACAAATTGTGTGATGTATTATGAATTTTGGCAAATCTTTAGCATTTTTTGTTCCAACTGTATTCCAAACGAAATAACACATGAGCATCCAAAATCCATTTAAATGTAATTATACTTTATGCTGGTCTCACTGTTTTTATTACCTCATTTTCTTCTGTGGTACTATATTAACCACATCTTTCCAGTGATTTTTCGGCTTGCTGTGTAATCGCCTTCTTATCGTGCTGCCTTCCCAAATTTGGTATAAAATACGTAATTCTTCCCTTCTCATAATGTAAAGTGTGACCAGTCTGTCGTACTCTTCTACTTATAGTTTCCACTACTACTTCTACTGGTTCTTTTAAAAGTTCCCTAATTTCTTCATGTGTCCTCTTCTTTACAGTTATTACAATTCCAGCTTCCAAATCCACCTTATACAGTTTTAGTTTAAACTGTTCAATTTCTGGACTTTGTCGTAACTCATTTGTGCTTTCGTCATTAGAAGTGGCGTAATCTGTTTAATCCCGAACCCCAGGAAAGTCTGGGAGAGCATGTTCTGATAGCGGCACGTAATGAATTGCTAAATCGGAGACGCCGGAGTCGGTAGCGACAGGCGGCGGCCAACGTTAGGATATAATAATAATGATGATGATGGCAACGGCAGCAGCCATGCACCGAGTAGTTACACCGCCACCCCGCGTCACGCCCTGAAATGCATATTAATTAATCAGCGCCTGACGACTAAGGGTTGAAGCGAGCGGTGCAGTGTGCCCAATGAATGGCCAACGTTGCAACACAACTACTATGGACAGACAGACAAACGAACGGACGAACTGAATAGAACCGGGGACGTTGACGGACGATCTGAAGTTTCTCGGAAAATTGCAGAAGGAGGCGCGCACTAGAGAGAGCTTTTGCCGGTTTTTGTTGTCGTTGTCGTCGAGTTTAGGAAGTTCCAATGGACGGAGCTCCGGGTTCAACGTTCGCTTTCGCTAACTAACAACGGCAGTTATTAAATACTGTCAACAAAATACGTACATAGCGCCTTAGTTTCCATTTAACTTACCCCCGACTGCTCGTAGTGACGTATGGCAAAAAGACCAACACAACCATTCAGCTTCTATTAAGTTAATTTACAATTAGTTTAATCGCAACTTCAACTGCAGAAGTTGCTAATTTAATAGTAGAAAAAACTTAAGACAATCGACCTTTTACTGGTTGCCTCTAATTTTTACTTTATTTGTAAATCCTAAATTAGCTAACGACTACCCGCTTCGCTGGAATTACATTCTTTCTTAATCTAGACGGTTGTTGGTGGTCGATTTGCAAAGAATTCTCGAATTATAGAAGATGCCACAAAATATGAAAATGCATCAATTTAATGTCTAAGAACCCAGCTATATCTGTCAAGCATAGTAGTTCTGGAGCATTCCAGAATGTTCCCGATTCTTTTGGTCTAGTTCAGTCTATAACATTCTACTTGATGTTAGCCCTAAATCTTCCAGAACATTCTAGATCAGGACCACCGTAAAAGCATTCAAAATCATTTTAGTAGGTACATTCTCACTTATTCTAAGCGGGTGCTTGGTGGTCAGAGTCAGCCCCACCATTTACACATAAACACTCTCACCCTAGGACAAATCCTAGACATTTGGGAGCATTAGAATGACACCGTTAGAAGCATTCAAAAACATTCTACTACTTTGTGTTTGATGACTAGTGGTCGACCCGCAAACCCACACACCCGCCAGTGTGGATTTTTATACATACACCTACAGGGGTTTAAAGATACTTTTCTAGTTGGGGGGCTTGAATCTTCCTTGGCCTTCCGCTTGTACAGCCGGTGCAGACGTATATCTCTCAAGTTAGATTCGTAAAGTGGTCGAAAATTGTGATAATAAAAAAGCCATAAGAACGGTGATGCGAACAGCTCATCAGCCATATGTTCTGGAGAAATCAAATAAAAGTTGACTTAAATTGTAAAAATGAGTCCCAATGTCTATGAGGATAAGATTTTCGAAACTCTCAATATCAGAAACGTCATTTTAATCTTCTTATAATTTTTACAAAATTCTTTATCTGACTAAACTCTTTTTGGAGAAAGGGGAAGGAAACTGATTGTAATCCAAAAATATGTGTTTTACAATTTAAAAGGAATGTGCAAGCAGGGTTCTTTCATATGATATAATACTTAACCCCGATAGTATCCCACTTTTTTTGCATTGAAAATATGTATTAATTTATATTTACCAACCGATAAAGTAATGTTTTATTTAGGATCCATTGGAACCTGATAATAAAATTCCAAAATTAGGTAATGAGAGGCGCGAAGCTAAAAGTTCCAAACAGCATGTAACTGTTAAACTTATTAAGAAGTACAAGGTAGGTCATATGCCATCAAGTTTATAAATCCTATACTATTTTAATGTATTTTTAGCATTTAATGTACTTAAATTGGTTGTCGCAAAATGAAATGATTGCAGTTGAAGTTAAACCCTTAAGTTTAACCGAACAACTACCACCATGCCTTAAACAAAACTTATTTGGTACAAAATAATTTTGTTTCGACAATTTTTTTTAACAAATAATAAATATTCTTTAAAAAGATTTTGTTTTTGATTTCTTCTTCGGTATAGTTTTTTAGTTGTCTTTACATTTGAATGTAGTTGTTTATTTGCATGTTTTTATAATTGCTTGTATATGAAGTAATGAGGTAAGTGGGTAAATTTGAATTTTTGGCACCACAAACAACAAAAGTATGGATTTTACGATTATGGAACCCATGGGCGTCGTAAGAGGAGATCAAAAAATTGAACTTACCATAGAGATATTAGAATAGAGTAACAAAATCCCACCTAATCAATTGCTCTGTTGTGTCGCCCGGTGCGAGGGAGAACAGTGCATAGTGTCTCTGTGTATTTCTTTCTAACCATAAGGGGTTAAAAAAGGCAGTTTCTTCAATGTTACAGACAGACATATCAATGTTATCAAATGTTAAAAAATAATTAAATAATTATTAAATTCTCTTATACCTAATAAAAAAGAGAACTTTGTTTAAACAAGTAGGTAATTACAATTAACAGTATACTAGTTGTATAAATTTTTATTTATCTTTGGTAATTAAAGTATTAAACATTTTCTTCTGCACTCCTTTAAAATTATGCTAGTTACGCCCATGGCAGCTAGGTATTGCAGAAATTTTTCTTTTTTATTTTTTATTAAAATTTAGCTGGCAATGAGTAAATTATTGTTTTCAAACTTCTAAAATTTAACAAAAATAACAGGTTATAATCGAAATTAACTAATTAAAATGATAGAATATAGGTTCCACATAATCTATCTACAAAATTGAGGTTATAATATTCGTATTTATGACATTTTGTATTTATGTACATCAATAAGTATGAATAACGTGATGTTTCCTGACGGTAAGTGAAATACTATGGGCATGGTTATACTTATCATAGAAGATGTAAAAAATTATCTGGAATGGCGTGGTCGCGTTGGTAGATGTACTTTATAAATCGAATTTGTTCGGTTTTAAACATTTCCGGTAGTGTTTTCATGTATAAAGTTAGCTGTACAGTAATTGTTAATAGTGTTTTTGTAAGTAGCATTTCCGTTTTTGTAAAGATAAGTGTGCGAATGTGTAATAACTGAAAACTGAAACATGGTTGTTTCAACGGCATCGAGACGAAGGAAGCCATATTTGTACTGTAGACAACAAGTGCGTAAGTATTACAACTTATGTTATTCTTTTGTTTTTTTATTATTTATAATTCTTATAACCAGCAACATAACTAACTAGGTAATTGTATGAAAATTTATTCTACCGTCAAGGAAGGTGTCATAAATAATACTTTTACCCTTGCCTTTATTTGAAGGTAGGTAGAAGGTCTTTGCATATTTTTTTGAAAGTATATGGTTCTAATACTTATTACACCAACATTATACTATAAACTGGTAAAGGTGGTGGTAAATCGGGGGGATACAGGGTATGTCGAGGACTTACATACATGGGAAACTTCTCCAAGTTATTGGAAAAATCGCTGGATCGCCATCCAATAAAACCTGAAACAAAAAAAAATTATCGACTAAAATTCGTCAATCATTAGTAATCTTTTGGTATTTTCCTCCTCTTGTCTATCTGCCATTTACATAGTTAAATTCAGTATGCTATGTAATTAGATGATCCAACAAACAATAGAAACTATTTTTTTGGTATTTTTTACCTCCCTTCTTTAGAGTGAATATCTGGTGTAGGCACTTAAAATTGTAGCAAACGAATATCATGAAAAATTGAGAAGAAACTCGTAATTTCATTATTTAGTTACTGGTTGAACCTGTTCAAATCTGGATGGTGAGTATCGTTGTTGGTGATCAAAAGAAAAACCTTCTATAGTCGGAATCATGTAATAAAACATGATAAACAACTGATTTATAAAATTATTTTGTCAAATAACTGATGTCTACACTACCTAATTTAGAGGAAGAGTACAACTTTATGGTTTAGAATCTAACTTTGTAGCTGAGATTTAACAGAATCATTAATTTTAATACTGATGATTTGTTCAGGTGTTTAGTAGATCATTTTCTATTTTATAATATTTGAAAGTTGAAATGGATAGGCCAGAATTAGATATAGTAGACATTAGTGAAGTCCGTTGGTCAGAAGCTGGAGAGTTCTGACGTAGAGAAGATGGGAACTTCTGGGGTGGAGACTTTGGAGGAAGGTAATTCGGTTGTAGAAATTGTAATGCGTAAGAAAGCAGGACAAAGTGTAGATAGTTATTTACAAAAAACTAATAGGATAGTTATGATTAAATTAAACTCGAAACTGGCAAAACTGTAATAGTCCTGGTCTATATGCCTAACATCATCTTACAATGATGAAGACATATGCAAATATAGAAGACGCGTTAAGTTTCTTCAATGCAGTAATAAGTGAAGGTAAAGTAGGTGTAAATAACAAGTTCTTTTGAATTAAGTAGTATAAATGATACGGGAGATAGACTGATCGTCGCGGATCCTTTATTTGCCCATAATGTTAGGAGTGGTTATACGTAGAAAATTTATCAGATTACATACTTGTTAGGCAAATGTTTAAAAATTATGCTCCTGGATAACTGCTACAGTAAATAGATAGCGACCATAATCTAGTAGTTATGAAGACTAATCTTAAATTTAATATTCTGAAGAAGATGGAAGGTCCGAAATGTCCTAACGTAGAAAAGCTAAAATGTAACGAAACGCGTCATAGGCTAGGCGCAACAACAGACGAAATATTAAAGGAGTCGGGAGAAACGAATGACAGGGACATAGAGACAGAATGATGTAGATGACAGAGATATATTAGGTTTTAGACAAAACAAAAGTAGAAAACCCTAGATAACAATCAAGATTGAAGAATTAATAGAAAAAAGGCGGAAATACAAGAACAAGACAAACGGAGAAGGCCAAAAAAGATATAAGGCGATAATGTGGGAAATAATTAGGAAGTATAGCGCAGCGAAGGAACAGTTGATTGATATGAGGTATAAAGAAGTAGAAGAAAAAGTTGAAGTAGGTAAAACGGATGAGGCTTAAGGCAAAGAAACGAAACAGGGTTCATTTTGACGGAAAATTACGAAAAGGCAGATAAGTGGAAAGAATATTTAGAGTACCTGTACGCAGGCCAAGAGTTAGGAGATATATTAGAGAAGGAAGATAGTGTGGAGATAGGTGAGCTAGGTTACCCCATAATGAGAGAAAAATTTGATGTAGCATAAAAAAATTATTAATTCGTATTTCCTTAAGACTAGAATATCCTACATCCTTAACTGTTTGTAAACAACAACTTAATATATATATATATGCCTACCTCTAGTCCTCTTAGTTACTGTTTCTGATTCTAATGTGACTAACTAAGCCTTTGTTGCATCTTTACAATACTATAGGTTTATTTTATTTTGCATACTAATTTTATTATTGTCGGAAATTTTAAGTATTATTTTCTATTTGTATACAAATTCAATTCTATTATTCATTTTATTATTTAGCTACAATTTTCAGATATATATTATTTATCAAATGCAAACAGTAATCTCAGTATTTTTGAACCATAAATTTTATAATGTATTCTACTATCTTATTGTAACATTTCTTCCTTCGAAAAGTCACGTTCGCTATATTACTGTAATTTCCAAATTTAAATTCATGTATTTTGTCTGTACCTGAAATGGGGTATTGACCTGACTGACAGGGTCGCCTTGCACCCTTAGTGCTATTGTTAACGCCCACTGGCGAAACTATTTAAGTATCAAATCAGTATCAAAAACAGTATCGAAACAGTATCGATAACAGTATCAACATAGCAACAATCAATTCACATTCATACTCAATTAGAGCCTACTTTTATACTATTACATTTAATTTTATTCATTTAGTTTATTTTAATTCTACGTGTAAGTTAAGTGTTGACTATTAAATATTTAAAACAACAATCGTTATCATTTACATAAAATAGTTTGCTCGCAATTAATTTGGCGTGTAAAGTGAGAATACCAGAAAGAACTCTTTCAATTAAAATTTATTTTCTCACAACAAACAATAATATTAATATTTTTATCGCCCAGAATATCTTAAATCCATTTGACCTTCTCGTGACCCTTTACATAAAT